TCGAGAGTCGGAGTACCGTCTGGAAGGAAAAAAAAAAGCGCTTTTTTTAAACGTGGGGTCCGTGGTCCTGAAATTTTACTTAAATGCCCTCGAAATTATGGACCAGTTAGGATCCGAGGACCGAGACTTGGCCTGGATACAGCACGGCCACGTCGCGCTCTATTTATTGATAGACACAGGAGGTGGTCGCAACAAGAAGAGGGCCCAGCTCCCAGATTCGGATTACAAAGCAGGGGTGAAACCGTGACCTCATTATCTCCTCAAGCTAGCATTTAAAGGGCGCAACCTACAACAATTGAGGATACATAGGTGTGAAGTAGAGGAAAACTAGTTGTCTTTAAGGCTGTGTTTGGTTTGAGGTGAAGTGAAAGAAAAGAAAATGAAATAGAAAAGGAAAGAAAGAAAAAGAAATAAGATTTTTTTATATGTTTGGTTAGACAGAAAAGAGAAAAGGTTCAACCCTTGCTGACCCCATCTTAATAACAAGTGGGCCCCACTTGGAATTAGCTAAGAGGTAGGAGACACGGGTTGCGAAGATTATTTAGGGATGGGCGCCTTCAAAGTTCGGCGCCGACACTTTTTTCCCTGCCTTTCCTTGGGGTCCGGTGGAGAAAAGAGAAAAGAAAATTTATATTACTTTTTTTCTCTAGGTAATCTTATTTTCATTTTCGTTTTGGTTCTCCCTCTAACCAAACTACGAAAATTTATATTCCTTATCGTTTTCCTTTCTTTTCCTTAACTTTCATTCAAACCAAACAGACCCTAAGGGTTTGTTTGTTTCGTAAAGAAAAATACATAAAGTGGGGGAAAGTGGGGGAAAGAAAATTGATATAGGTAAATTTTGATATTTTCCTCCACTTTCAGATGTTTAGTTTGTCAAAGCTATAAAAAAAAGTGGGGGAGAAAATGAGTTGTCACCATATTATTGGATGAGATGAGTAATTTTTGATGTTTTCCTTCATTTTTCTTGTTTAGGTTCTTTTCTTGTGTTTGGTTCATTCTTGTTGATGCTCGTGAACAAACAATCGATGGGGGTTTCCCGCACTCGGACGTAGTTTCGATCCTGACGACGATGGGGAAGAATGAGAGGATCAATGTTGGGGCCGGCTCCTCCTCCGACTTTATGCCCGATTCTGAGCGAGCGGAGTGGACTGATAGCCTGCACATACAAGAAACACAGGAGTACGGGGCTAGTTTCCCCCGTGGTACCTCCGACGATCAAGTCAGCTGGTGTGCTTGAGGGAGGCTTTTTGGGAGGTCTCTGGACCATCGAGGCCCTTAAAGGGGGTTCCTCTTGCAGGATTTGTTTAGTAAAGGATCACCAAAGAAATGAATAAAATTCAACTCTAGGGAGAAGCAGAGCCTTTTTCTTTTGTACTTACCCCTCTTACCTCCTCTTATCGCCTCCCCTCTGAGTCTTTGGCCCCGGGTTTTTGTTGACCATCACAGGAGGCGGTTGAGGGGTGAGCAGATGTTGTGCGCGGTGAAAGCTTTCTTGTGCAACACGAACAATAACTCGAACTAACCACAACTAATATGCAAACACAATCACAGCAAGAACAAACAATTTTACGTGATTCGACAAGGTGCCTACGTCCACGGGGCAAGGAGGGGGGAGTTCTTACTATTAGAAATCAGAAAATACAAGTAGAGTTACAAATCTCTCAGATCAAACCCTAAAACAAAGCTCTTGATCTCTCACAACTCTCCCACAATTGGATGCAATAATTCTCTCTCCAAGGTTGCTCAAATTCGTCCTTGCATAACCCTAAACAATCAGGTTCAGAGTTATATACAACTCAGAAACGAAACGGGTCAAAAACCGAAAGGCCCAGCCCAGATCATCGACGGTCGACCGCGGCGGTCAACCGCGCAGGTCTCGCGGTCGTTTCTACCAAAACTGAGCCGACACCAAATCATCCAATAGTTCCTCAACAAGTCCAGGAACAATACTTGAGCTGAAACGCGATCTTCCCCCCCCATCTGAATCAACTGATCAAACCGGCTGCATCTGAAAGACTGCCTACGTATCCTCTTGCCCAAGGAATCAAGCCGAACGTAGTTCACCCAAATAGCCTCCAAAGGCCTCAGCACTGAAGGATGTTCAAAAGCTTCAAATAATGACCAAATTTCACTCCTGAAATAACTTTGGTCAATATATCTGCAGGGTTGTCATTAGTGTGGACCTTCTCTAATATGACGTCTCCATCATCCAACACGTCACGTACAAAGTGGAATCTGACGTCTATGTGCTTCGTGCGCGCATGATAAACCTGGTTTTTCGCCAAATAGATAGCTGACATGCTATCACAATATATCTGAATAGTCTCCTGAGCGATCCCCAAGTCCTCCAATAATCCACGCAACCATAAAGCCTCCTTAATAGATTCAGTAACTGCCATATACTCTGCCTCTGTAGTAGAGAGAGCCACTGTGGACTGAAGCGTGCAACGCCAACATACAGGTGCACCTGCCAATGTAAAAGCATAACCTGACGTAGACCGGCGTTTGTCAAGATCTCCAGCATAGTCTGAATCCACATATCCAATACAAGCCTGCCCATCCTTCTCATCCTTCTGGAATACTAAACCAACATCCACGGTGCCTCGAACATACCGTAGAATCCACTTCACGGCCTCCCAATGACCCTTCCCGGGGTCGTGCATGTATCTCGATACCATGCTCACGGCCTGTGACAAATCTGGCCTCGTACACACCATCGCATACATCAAGCTACCTACTACACTGGCATATGGGACCTTCGACATATAATCTCTGTCCTCAACTGAAACAGGTGACATCAACGCTGAAAGCTTAAAGTGGGGAGCCAATGGTGTGCTAACTGCTTTTGCATTGCCATCAAAGCTAAATTTCTTCAACATCTTCTGCAAGTAGCTCTTCTGTGTAAGTTTCAAACTCCCTTTCACCCTGCCTCTCTCGATCTCCATACCCAATATCTTCTTTGCCTCTCCAAGATCATTCATCTCAAACTCGGATGACAGCTCATCTTTCAACTTTCGAATAGCCGAAGAATTCCTGGAAGCAATAAGCATATCGTCAACATATAAAAGCAAATATATGTGCTCACCATCATGTAACTTGTGCATATAAACACATGGGTCATATGGGCTCCTTGTGTACCCTCGGCCAATCATAAAGCCGTCGAATCTCTTATACCACTGTCTTGGTGACTGCTTCAAACCATAAAGAGACTTCTTTAGCTTACAAACCAAATCTTCCTTTCCTGCAGCTTTGAAACCCAGGGGTTGTGTCATGTAGATCTCCTCATCTAAATCACCATGTAGAAAGGTTGTCTTCACATCCATCTGGACTAAATCCAAATCCAACTGTGCCACCAACGCCAATAAAATCCGTATAGACGAATGCTTCAAAACGGGTGAAAATACCTCGTTATAATTAATACCCTCAAGCTGTGCATATCCCTTGGCAACGAATCTGGCTTTGAACCTTATGTCCCTAATAGAAGATCGCTCCTTCTTCGCATATACCCACTTGCAACCTATAGCCTTCTTACCCTTAGGTAGATGTGTAAGTGTCCAAGTATCGTTCTTCTGAAGAGACCGCATCTCCTCCTCCATAGCTTCCCTCCACCTGATCGAATCGGGGCTAGACTCTGCCTCCCTGAATGTGGCTGGAACCATATCGTCAACGACCTCCACTGATAATGCATATGCGACCATGACATCATTATACCTAGCTGGCCGACGAATCTCTCTTCTCGGTCTATCTGCTATAATGGACCTCTGAACATGGCCATGTTCATGAGTCCCATGATCCACTGTATCCTGTATCTGCCTGGCTGTCATCTCATCTCCTCCCAGTGTCACCTCTGTAGGAGCTTTGATGGATACAGTGCTCTCTGGAGTGGGTGGAGTCACACCATCCTCCACCTGCTGCGATATCTCTCATGTCTGGTCTCCCTCTACCTGCTGAGGGGCTCGAGGCCTCATCATGTACGCCTCGTCAAATGTGACATCTCTGCTAATAACTATCTTCTTGTCCTGTGGATCTCATAACTTGAAGCCTTTGACTCTATCTCTAAATCCCACAAAGACTGCTTTCCTCGCTCTCGGATTTAATTTATCATCACTGACATGATAATAAGCTGGACACCCGAATATCCGAAGCGACTCATAGTCACTAGCCACCGAACCAAACCAACGCTCCAAAGGAGTCTTCCCGTCTATCGCAGTGCACGACAACCTGTTCACGAGATGGCTCGCATAAACTACCGCCTCGGCCCAAAAGGGTCTAGGCAATTTACTCTGTGTCATCATACATCGCACCTTCTCCAGCAAGGTACGGTTCAATCTCTCAGCCACCCCGTTCTGTTACGGTGTCTCTCGAACTGTGAAGTGTCTTCTAATGTTGTGATCCCGGTAAAACTGCAGAAACGGATCATTCTTGTACTCTCCGTCGTTATCTGAACGTAGAGTCTTCACCTTTCTACCTGTCTGCAGCTCTACTTTCTTCTTCCACTTCACAAAAATATCCAGGACCTGATGTTTATGCTTCATCGAGTATACCCAATTCCTCCTAGAATAATCATCAATGAAAGTGATAAAATAGTTGCCCCCCCAAGAGATGTGTTCTTGGAAGGACCCCAAACATCTGTGTGAATGTAATCCAAAGTACCTCGGGTGTTATGAACAGCGGTACCAAACTTCACTCTAGTCTTCTTCCCAAGTACACATTGCTCACACAGCTCCATCTTGCAGGTCTTAGCACCTTTCAATAGCCCCTATTTTGCTAATGACTATAGGGACTTATCACCTGTGTATCCAAGTCTCATGTGCCATA